ACGGTCTCTTAATGCAATCGATGTTTACAACGCGGATGCTATTGAGGCATCCCTCTCGTCATACATGTCTAATTATTACTGATGGAGTGTATGACGCATGGCCAAAATATTAATCAGGCCTGGTTTTTTCTGAGCTTTCTTATTCTAACAATTGGCTAATTACTAATCTAGATCAGTCTATCGAGTTTAATTCGACTACTATGACCGAATCATCGGAACCTGTGCTATTGATCGTGACACTTGAAATCTTTTTCCTTAATGTTTCAAATGCTCACCTCTTCATGTCTCAGAGTAGCCTAGCAAAAGTGGTCTGTCTGTATCTGCGACTCCTGATTTGAACGCCCAGATAATCATGTTTAATACACTCGCTTACATTCATGCTTCCTTGTCTGATGTACGAGATTTCGTTTATTACAACAAATTTCTTATGGTGACTGACTCGTAACACTCATTTACAAAAACTTTGCCTTAAGCCCATTCTAGTTTTAGTTGTAAAAATCTTTAATATCTAGAATGTCGATAATTGATCTCTCATTTTACTCCACCTCTATTTTTTTCCATTTTCTGTCTATTCAGGTCAAAGCTCGGGAGGCATTGCGCTTTAGACGAACTCGCTTGGCTGATGCTAAAGCCGAACGGGCTGGAATAGAGGCGCAGAAGAGAATGGCGCCCTATCAAGCGGCTTACTCTGCCTATATTGCAAGTCGCGAGGCTCAAGTGCGCTCCAGACAATCTCGCATCCAGTTTCACCGAGACTCTAAGGTTAGCCTAATCCTAAAGGAGACCGCGACTATACTAAATGCCATACAATTATGGTCTTCATAACTCTGAATACTTTCGCTTTTTTTAATGAATGCATCAGTCAGCTACTTAAGATTAAAATGATCTGACACCTAGAAGAGTAATACTCTGAGACAGATAGAAAATACGGAAGATGAAATGATGCACTATTGGTGATCAAAGGGGGAATATATTCAATTGGTCGTAATGCTGACGTAATTTGTATGTCCTTGATAAAGGTGGTTGAGCACAAGAGGATGGAATAGGACAATCGAATTTGCTTGCTTAAATGATGCAGCCAACGTGAGAAAGACGTCATTGATGGGTGGCTGTAGAGGACCAAAGCGGACACGGCGGTAACTTGAAGTCGGTCTTGACAGTTTGTTTCAGCTGAACAAAAGTAGTCCCGTATATGCGAGCCCAACGAAACGGCCCCTGAAGGACTTTTCATGGTATATAAACATTGAGTGAGCGTGGTTCTCTATATGCAGAGGTCCAACCAACATTCATCATCACAGATACAGAAGGCAAGAATGGCGTATCAAGACGTGGTATACTTTAAAGGCGGCGCGCGGTAATGAACGTGATTTACGTCCAGTATAAAGACTGGCTTATTTGACGATAGTGAGCTATAACAGAGAGGGTCTCCAGATTTTAGTGTCGAATTCCTCCTTCATACAGCACAACGCTGATGGTGAAGCGGGCATGACGCGCGATGGTGGCACTCGAGAGCCAGAGCTACTTGCCACCAGGGCGTAGGTGTAGTAAGGACGTCTCCTTAGTTGAATTTTTGTTTCATAATACCTTACTTAAAGTGGACGTTGGCTTTGATTGCCACTGGAAAGTCAACTAATCTAATTAAGAATATACGCAAACTAATTGACCCAAATAGTTGGAACAGCTGGATAAGTCAGGATGATAATTTTTCGCAAGTGGTCTTTGTGTGAAATAGGAGGGCTATGCACTAGATGATATTTCCTGTAAGGTAGCTAATCGGTGTAGACAGGACCGATTGTAATTCATTTTAAGTTATTCAACTGGAGATTTTCCTTCTCTTATCCTTCCGTATGGTTGTTTTTTAGTCAAAATGGCTCCTAATAGGATCGCATTTTAGACGAGATGTAATTATGCTTGAGTTTTATTCTTAATTCCCCGACTTGAGAATTATATTAATATTTGAACTCAGGAGTATTCAGTTTTATTAACTTACGAATACCATAGTAGCAATGAAGGTAGGCATCTTATTATGTAAATATATTTATATAGCACTAGAAGAACTTAAAGTTACATCTGCACTGACGGTAATTAATATTTTCAAGTTTCGAAGGAGTAGGGCATAGCTTACTTGATAAATACTAATATAAAATACTATTCAACTTCTGTATTGATTTCTTACCTATTTAACTAAGAATAACATAGCTCCTTAATATACCATCCTAAGTGTCTTGCGATGAAATTGTATCCTCATTTTTAATCTTACTCGCTTTGCCTCATTTTAAAACGCACAAAAGAAGCCAAATGGTCCTGTGAGTTTATCCCAATCCTACTTGGGGCTTGATGTGAAGTCATCCCTTAAGGGCCACCAGCTGTATCACTTAGCAGAGCGTCTCTACGATTCTGGCTCCTGCGATACTTCAGCAACAACAAATGCCTCGACTCGGCTTCCTCTGCTTATCAAGGCTGATACTCAAGGAAGCCTCGAAGCAATCGAACAGATGCTTGCCACCTTCCCCACAGACAAGTGTGCTGTGAGTCTGGTTACTTCAGGTGTCGGGCCACTTACTGATAGTGAGGTGGAGATGGCATCCGCTACTCAGGGTTTGTTAGATATTATTTACTGATACCTTTTCCATGCATTGCCCTCACACTTCACAGGTTTCTGCTGCACAAAGACTGAAATTCTCAATATGCATAGACTCAAGTATTAAACGAAGAAAATTGGCGTCATGTGACGGCTATATAGCGCCTATCGTTGAGAGTAGATTTTTATTGTCATTCAATCTTAGATAAGATCTATAGTCAACGCAGGTCGCAAAAGTTGGTGAGGGCCTGAATCTTCGCACAT